AGATATTCTTACATTATTTAAGTGTTTTCATAGGGATAATATAATATCATAGTAGAATTAGATTATTGAGGAAAGTGTATAGCAACATTACTGTTTAAAACGAAATGGTAAAATTATTTGCTTAACAGCATTTTAGAAGCAATGAAATTAATGTGGAATGAAACGAGGGTAAATTTGCATTTATAATTCTCATTAATTTTGAATGGCATCTATTCAAAATTAACGCAGCGTCGAATCATTATTAACACGACACTTTTAATAGTCATCCGTATATATATACAAATTGATGATGACAATTGATTTCATTTCCACTAGATTTTTCTTTTTCTTTTTTTTTTTTTTAATCCATTGCCACTGACTAATAAAAAATTCTGATAAAGATTTCAATATAATCCTAATAATAACAACAACAACTACTACTACTACTACTTCTACAATAATAATAATAATAATAATAATAATAATAATAATAATAATAATAATAATAATAAATTGAACAACAAAGTTTTTAATATGATGAACTTTTAATATGAAGAAGCTTTTAAAATGTATACGTAGACTGTTAGGAGATGCTTATAGTTTTTCTTTTTCCTTAAAATTGTTCATACTCGTTGTGCTCGATTATGAAAAGTGGACTATCAACATTTTTTCAGCTATTCACATCGTTAAAGTTAAAGAGTTATCGTATCATATTAGAATTTCGCAGATTCGATGAAAAAGCTTAATTATTCGAATGCACAACATTGCCCCCATAAATGCTCAATTCGTCGTCCCAGTAGTCGTGTCTTATGGCTTATAACCTCTTCACATAAATCCATAACCTTGTGCTCTTATAAATAAACATTCGACTTCGCCTTAAATAAATGGACATCGTCTCATATACTCACAACACAACCGCGACGTTTCCAAGTTTTGTCATTCTTGAATAAGCAAAACAGCCAGCCAAACAAATCCCTATTTTCCCGTAAGGGTATTTTTTCGCTCCGACGGGGCCGGGTGATGTGGAGGGGGCAGAGGAGGAGGAGGAGGAGGAGGAGGAGGAGGAGGTGGTGGCTCGAGCTTCCGTGGCAACAGTTTCGTCTTCGTAGGAGCGACGACGACCTTCGAGTCCTCTAGTAATGCAACGACGCGCGTTCGAATTCACGGAGTTGCCGTCATCATGACGAGACGTGACTTTGACATCCGTAACCGCTCGCCGGTACATATAAATAAAACATAATCGGCCTTCCAACGATTTTTATTTACCAAAGCAGAGACGCCCTGATAAGTGTCGGCGGTTAGTATCGTGAATCGTCCAGGGCTAGGGGGCATCGAAGAAGAGGGTCGTGGCAAGGACCGCAAATTCCTACCTCCACCTATAATCAATACGGATAATAATTCTTTGCTTCGTTTAGCCAAAACACACAAAATCCCCGTAACTCGGCAATCACTCCTTACTTCGTACCCCCTCCCCCGTTTATAGGTTCGTTAAGGGCGGGAGGGCAGGCCGAGGACGTGTAAAATAATAAATTTCTTTATGGTGTTGCGCCGCGCGGACGTTCGTCCCATCTCGCGAGTGGCCATGCAGTTTTCGGGGATGCGACCTCGATGTGTTGTGGACTAACCGAGCGATCGATGGAGGAAAGTGAATATTGTCGTGTGGATAAACGACGGACGATGGAGCCGATGCCGTTCATTTTGCTTGGTTTGCTTTGCTGGGACCGAGGACCGATAATCGAGAGAGATGAAACAGGCAATGGTAATGTAATTTTGCAAATTTACGGAGTGAAAGTAGTAGAGGTGCAGGTGCATGTATAAAGTAACGTCGGACAAATTTCGAGGATCAATGGAGGAAGGGTGAGTGAGATGAGATCGATGAGTGAGAATCCCGTAACAGAAGTAATTTGATGGTAGCGATTGAAGGGGACAAAAGTATTTTACAACTGCTTATTCGCGATTGCAATGGCACTCGAATAAGTGATGCTTGATGAGTTTTGAAATCGTTAAATACTCCATGAATAATAGAATGTCGTCGTGGCGTTTAATAATTGGCGGTCGCAGTCGCCCCTCATGCAGCAGAGGAATCGTTAACAAATGAAAATGTTGGGCCGTTTGAATTTATGTTGCCGTGTTGTGCAAGATAAAACGAACTTTGTGTATTTACGCGATATTAAATAAGAGTTGAAGAATATTGAAGAAATAAGTGGAGCTTTGTGGCTATGAATATATATCTTTTTTTTTTTTTTTTTTTTTTTTTTTTTTTTCCTCATTTGCATATAATAAAACCCATAAGTCGTCTAATGGAGAAAGAAAGCCAAATACTTTGTAATACGAAGCATCACATTCGGGCAAACGCGTAACGATACTTGCCACATTAAATCATCGTCAATCACAATTAAATGCTTAAATACTTAAGAGCTTTGAATATTGCTGGAGCAATGGAAAATTTGATAATTTAATAAATCATGAATTGCCGGCGTAGGTGAAAGGGATGACGCGAAGAGTGAGTGAGCATTACGTATTTGGAGAAATAAGTATAGGGAGATATAAATTATTCGCAATTTCACGCTTCAATGTATATTATACGTGAATTGGTGTCACTACCCTTAACATTCATAACTCCAGTAAAACGAAATTACTATACAGACGTAAGATACCTAGGCCACACTGTGTTGTAACCTGGGAAATTTAACAGCAGAAAATTATATACCAATGCGGAAAATAAAACTTGCATTTCTGTGAATACTATAGCTACTACTACATATAATAAATTGCTAACTACTTATGAGAATGTTTATAAAAATTCATTGAACAATCTGTTGATAATAAGTCGAACGATACGATGAATAGAAGCAAAAAGTTAAATAATAGAAAAAAATTTCATCAACCATTGGCATTACATTATTATCGGAATAATTACATTAATATATACCATACGATGTCAGTCAATTCGATTAATTTATTTTTCATTACATGTTAATGTGTGGATATGGATAAAGATAAATGCTTTATGGAAAAACATTGATTTCTTTATTCTCTATATAATAATGAATTATGATAATTAATTATGATTATGATAATGAATTAGCATGAAATTTTGGAATAATCAGTTTATGAAAAGCAAATATTAAAAAAAAAATAAATAAATTCTGTGAATAATTGAAACCCCTCGAAAAAATATTTTAATTCCGGCAACTTCGATTCCGAAAACATTAATTCCGGGAACATTAATTCCGGGAACATTAATTCCGGGATAATCTTGCGAATATATTTTTTTTTGTATAATCGAATTTCAAGATAATTATATATATATATTAATTTTAATACCAAATTTAAAATTATTTTATATAATTTATAATTTATACATGTATTTTCTTTAAGTTTATAAAGATAATGTGATGTTTTCAAGATTTTATAAAGCTTTTTAAATTTATAGGAATGTAATATTATGATTTATTTTTAATTTCGAAAAAGATATTCAACATTTCTTTCCAAAATTATACAATAAACGTAAAAAATAATTTAACACACAATATGTCAGTAAATAGGTCATTTGAAAAATCTTGAATTATTTTTAATGAAAACTCCTTTCAAATTTTATGATTAATGCTTTGTGTTAGTCGACATAGTAGGTATCTATTAATTTTAGACTTATCCTTTAGACAAGTTGATAAACATATTTTAATAATCTTAAGTGTCTTTTTCTACAATTGTAATTAAAATATCAAAAACATGCAACCCATAATTTTTACATAAAATTTTATGTAATTTTATTAATATTATGCAGTTAACGCATTGTGCATATTGTAACGCTGATCGATAAGTTAGGAATTGTACATATCAATATACATCAAAGTAAATTTACCAAATATAATTGACATACGTAAGAATAGAACATTATAGTATGTTAAAAAAAATATTATAGTTAAAATCTTTTAAGATTTTCTTTCCTTAGATCTCTTTACATTAAATTTCTTAAGATTCTCGTTTTTTTTTTCCTAATTTGTTTCGGCTTTTTAATGAATGATACACAATTTTTTGTAATCCTACACGTTCTATATTATGCTTTGTAGGTAAAAATTTAAAGAACATCAATTTCATTATTAACCATACATGAATTTGGTAAAATTGTTGACAACAATAGATAAAGTATAACTATAATTTAGTTATTAGTATAATTGAATTATACTATATAGTTTCTTAACCATACATTCTAATTAGATGTTTTTGTTAATCACAATTAAGTGTACATAGAACAAGGATATTCAAGATTATTCAATTATTCAATATACATTAGTTTATTAAAGATTGCATCATTAATAATTCAATTAATATTATATTGAAAATATTCGATAATATTTTACAAATATGTAAGTATAATTATAATTTAAAATTTCAATTTTAATATTTATATTTTTATTTCTTTATTGCTTTTGCGAATTTTCATTAGTAATTTAGCGAACGTGAAGGAAGATATACATAATTAAATTTCATTCTGTATATTAGGAGTTTTAGTACAATAGAGTAATTTTGCATCTCTCTAGAGCATTTGATATAAGTAAAATACATGCGCGTTCGCCCGCGCAAAGAGAGAGAGAGAGAGAGAGAGAGAGTCAGAGGCAATTTAATTTATCTAAATTTAAAAGGGAAATATGATGCTGCAATGTAAGAAAGGAAAATACATAGTAAGAACTCTATATTTTTCATATTTATTATTTCACTGCTTGTTGTTTATCGATCATTTTATTAAAATCACGAGGCATTCATTTCCAAATGGTAATTATCGATGCTTTAAATCTGCCAGATAATTGTTGCAATCGCGAAGCTCAAGTAAAACGGTATATTAACGTATTTGGGTTAATATCGATGGGCGCATCGCAAAAACACAAATTCCAATGGACGAAAGACCTTTTGTTCAAGTGGTTGGGGCGAGCGGACCATCACCAGTGGCTGGGCTTTAAGACACGTGTAGCGCCGTCGTCGTTCCCATCGTCGTTGTCATAACGACGTAACAACGCGTTGACGGCAGCGGGTTCGAGGGTTTCCCATCGCCAGTGCGAGACGTATTTTCTATTGGTTTTCTATCCTGATGTCTACGTGGTCATGATTCCGAGAAGATGAGCGTTAAGTGCTCGTGCGACCAAAGGTCCAAGGGCGGTCGACAGTCACCGGAGAACGCCGAGTGTTCTGGCACGCCCGGACCTAGGACCGATCAAATTTACCGAACGTTCAATATACCCACTCGCTTCATGTACCCGAGTAAGTACTTTTCTATATACTGATTTCGAAGCCCGAATACGAGATCGCTGATTGGCCGACCCGAGTTTTTACGCTCCAACTCCATCCAATTTATTCCGAGCATCCATTTTTGTTCAAACCCTAGCTGTTGTTGGTGTCATTGTTGTTGAGTCGTTATTAGCTGGACTCGTGATACTGAGCAGCGTAGATTTAATGTCCAACATGTGAGAAAATTTTCCAACATTCTCTCGGACGAATATTTGTTTTTAGTCAACTATTTGGATATTACAGAATCGAAACATTGCAAAGATTTTTTTATAATTGACAGTCAGTCCGTGTATATACGTTGTCGCATGTTCAACAGCGCTCGAAGTCACCTGACACTTGAGATTATATATTTATGCAATTAGTAAATCGTACTCGTAAGTCGAAATATTTTTCGGTATTAACGGTCTTTAAAATAAATGACTTTTTATTAAGGAACATTTCAATCAATTTGCTAACAATTTTTATTTTAATGTACAAAATAAGCTTGAATAAACCCTTACGTATACCTATTTTTAACGAGTTTTATGTACAGTTACACCGATACGTGAATACGCTAATATAATACGCATCTCGACAATTACAATCACGATTACAATACGAACAATCGAGTCTTCTTAAAGGAATTAACGGCCGCACGGACTCGTGCATTGGGGGCAAACACGACATTATCGATAAATCGAGACGAATAAACGCGAATCCGTGTAAGGCTTTGAGAAAAATACACAGTCTCCGATTTTACTAAGTCCTTTCACATCAATCACGAATCTACTCGTGTCCTCGTGCTTCTCTCCCCCCCCCCCATATTATATAAGCCCTATCCTAATGAAAATTGCAGCGCTCGGGTAGTCCGGCCTAATTCATTCCTAATCTTCGCCTCGAGTCCGTTTGCCCAATGGTGCTCGTTAATTAAAACCCCGCTCGCGCTTTATACGGTTCTGCGATTTTAACGAGCGTTGCTCCCGCTTATCTAGCGCGCATTCTCGCATCTAATTATAGCGTGACTCGTGGTGCCCGCCTTTAAATTCCCTTATCGCGACTGCTTCCGTCGT